TTCTGCGGCTCGTTGGGGTCTCTTTTCTTCTTGCTCTTCTTCGACACCTTGGGCTTCTTGCCTCGGGCCGGCCCCTCCGTGCTCTCCGACGAGGGCCTCTTCCCGCGACCCATCTAAGAGGAAGAGAAACACGGATAAGTGAATAAAAAGGGAGGTAAGATAAAATGGGAGGAAGGATAAAAAGGGAGGAAAGATAAAAAGGGAGGAAAGATAAAAAGGGAGGAAAGATAAAAAGGGAGGAAGGATAAAATGGGAGGAAAGATAAAAAGGGAGGAAGGATAAAATGAGAGGAAAGATAAAAAGGGAGGAAGGATAAACATGGAAAATTAAAAAGGTGGCAAATATTTGGGACGATAAAAAGGAGGTAAAAATATTTGGAAGGATAAAAAGCGGGAAAATAGAAAGGCGAATTTGTGGAGAAATTAAAAAGGAGGTAAATATTCCGGAAAATAAAAAGGGAGACAAATATTTAGAAAATTAAAAAGGAGGTAAATGCTTGGGGAAATGATAAAGAATATAAAATAATTAAATAAGAATAAAGGTAAATGAACAGAAATGGTAAGAAAATAAGGTAAATCAACAGAGGTAAAAGGGAAGAGGATACCTAATGGCGGAAAAATAAAAGTAAAGAAAAAAAGACAAAAAAAAGTAAACAGGCAAGTATTTAGTATAAGTATTATAAGTTTAAAAATATGAAATGACGCAACAAAACACTTACTATACTTCTATTACAAAAATGTCAAAGCAATATCTATAGAAATGATGTATGCGTGAGGACTGAGGAGGAAGGGAGGGAGGGAGGGAGGGAGGGAGGGAAGGAGGGAAGGAAGGAGGGAAGGAGGGAGGGAGGGAGGGAGGAAGGGAGGGAGGGAAGGAGGGAAGGAGGGAGGGAGGGAGGGAGGGAGGGAAGGAAGGAGGGAGGGAGGGAAGGAGAGAGGGAGGGAGGGAGGGAGGGAGGGAGGAAGGGAGGGAAGGAGAGAAGGAGGGAGGGAGGGAGGGAGGGAAGGATGGAAGGAGGGAGGGAAGGAAGGAAGGAGGGAAGAAAGGAAGGAGGGAAGGAGGGAGGGAGGGAGGGAAGGAGGGAAGGAAGGAGGGAAGAAAGGAAGGAAGGAAGGAAGGAAGGAAGGAAGGAAGGAGGGAAGGAGGGAGGGAGGGAGGGAGGGAGGGAGGGAGGGAGGGAAGGAAGGATGGAAGGAGGGAGGGAAGGAAGGAGGGAAGGAGGGAGGGAGGGAAGGAAGGAAGGAGGGAAGGAAGGAGGGAAGGAAGGAAAAAGAAGAGGGAAGGAGGGAGGAAGAAAAGGGAGGTTAAGACTGAAGTCGAATGAAATAAAACAAGTTACAAGGAATACGATTTTTTTTATCAACTTGTCCGTTGTCGATTAAAATAACGGCACTTCACTAAAAGAAACGAAACAAAACAAAAACACGTGAGATCGCTCATGTATATAGATACACATACACGTGCTTTAAAAAAAATAAACGATGGATTCAGTATCTCATTGCATTTACTGTGTTTTTTCTTCCTTTTTTTTTACAATTATGTAAATCGGATTAGTAAATATTCATACTGAATCAATTATAATGATTAAATGCACCAAAAAAATGGAATGATATGCAAAATTACAAGAGTAAATCAAGGCTAATATGCATCGAGATTTCAAAATAGCTGTGGCCGATCGCTGAACTGTCCGGTCAAAAGGAAAATTTTAACGATTAATTTCTTTAGTAAATGGCGCTCAATTGCGCATTCCTTGGCAAAAACGGAAAGGATGAAGAAGTAGGAGGAGGAGGAGGAGGAGGAGGAGGAGGAGGAGGAGGAGGAGGAGGAGGAGGAGGAGGAGGAAGAGGAGGAGGAAGAGGAGGAGGAGGAGGAGGAAGAGGAGGAGGAGGAGGAGGAGGAGGAAGAGGAGGAGGAGGAGGAGGAGGAGGAGGAGATGATGAAGAAGAAGAAGAAAAACAAAAAAAATGGGACGACGCGATTAGAACCGGAGACAAGAGGCCGCCGCCATTTCCTTCGGTGGATATTGAACGGGATCGCATTTTATATTCAACGGCCAGATGTGAGCGTGTACTGCGCGCGCGGTAATTACTCCAGCTCTGGCCATGAATTCTTAGCAATTACCGAGGATTTCGGAGGCCAAGCGCCCCGCGAGGCCCCGCGCGACGGCTGGACGGCTGGACGCGGGCGGTGCAGCTGGTGACGCGGTCGGGCGCCTCCCCGTTCCCCTTCCGCGCGCGCTGTGACTCACATGTAAATTCATCAAAGCAAGTCTCCGAGACGCACAATTACTCGCCATGAATGCGGAGGCTTCGGGGCGAGGGGGGGGGGAACGGCCCCCCTCCTCTCCCTCCCTTCCCCTCATCTCCTCGCCCTGCCCGTTGGGGAGGAGAGGGGGCGGCGGAGAAAACAAAAACAAAACAAAACGCGTTAAGAAAAGGCGAAACAAAAATCTAAGACACATCTCCAAAAAGAGGCATGAAATCGTAATGGGGACAGCTCATGGCATTTGCATGAGAGCGACCCTCGAGCGGCGGGCGCAGGCGAGGCAGATGAAGTGGGACCGCCACCAGCCATGCATCACAAACCAGGCGGCCGCACGGAGAAGCGGGGGCCACTTAGGTCATTATGAATGGCCTCGTTAATTGGTGATGAACAGGTTAAGGTTGCATGGGTGATGATCGCCGCGGTCTGGCAGCGCGCGACGCTCAGAGGCGCCCGGACGGACCGATGAGGAGGAGGCCATCGGGACTCGGAACGGGACGCAGGGCGAGAGAGCCGACGCTTCGGACTCCTGGACAGGCCCAGTTGGAATTTATCTCCGCGCGTGAAGGCTCAATCTGCTGCTTAAAATCTGTTTTTTTTTTAACACCACTTTAATTATATCATTTTATCTCAAGAGTACGGACAAGGGACAAGCGGGAATATCTAAACAAAACAATCGGCGGTCAATATAAGAGGACGGTGGTTTATTACACTCCGGCGAGAAAGGCTTCTTGGACAAACCGCGGAAGGGAGATCGGAGGAGGGAACGGGGCGGGCGAAGACACACGAAACGAAGGAAAGGGAAATGCGGGAAAGGCAGGATGAGAGGCAAGGCAGAAGGGTAAATGGGGAAAGACAGGCACGAGGGGAGAACGCGACGAAGGTACACCGAACGGCCCCCTTCGTCAGCATCAAGCGCGGACGGGATAGACCACTGGACACAAGCGAAAGGAATAAACAAGAAAAAAAGGAAGTGGGGAGGAAAAGATAAACGGGAAAAATGGGGAGAGGCTCTGATATCGCGTCGTAAACCTGGCGAAGAGTCGTCACCTGATCGCGACGGCGGCGGCGGGGAGGGAGTGGGCGGCGAAGGGGGCGGCGGAGGGGGGCGCGGCAATAACTCAGGGGACTTCTCGCCAGGTGACCTGCGCCTGGGGGGGGAAGGGGGGGAGAGGGGAGGGGGAAGGGAGGGGGAGAGGGGAAAGGGGGGAAGGGGGGGAGAGGGGGAAGGGGGGGGAGAGGGGAGGGTAGAGACGGCGCCCGGACCGAGTAATCTTGGCCAAGGGGAAGAGGAGGGGAAGAGGAGGGGAAGAGGAGGGGAAGAGGAGCTGGAGAAGAAAGGAAATGGAGAGGATGGGGAGAGGAAGAGGAGGGGGAATGGGAGGAGGAAAAGGTATAAATGAAGAATAGATAAAATGAGAATGGGAGAAAGAGAGAAGGGAGAGAGAGAAGGGAGGCAACCCACCTGAGCCAGAGGCGTCGAGTCGTCGGAATCATCACTTCCGGGGGACGGGGAACCACCTGAGTTGGGCGAACCGCCGCTGCGAACCATCTGCGGGCGTGGGTAGTAGCCCATCATGCCCCCAACGCCCGACATCATGTGGGGCGCCTGAGGGGGGCCGGCTCCGTGCATGGCCACACTGGCGCTGGTGTACACGGGGGTGGGCGGGCCGCAGCCGGGGTGGGCCATATACCCGGTGGTCCTTAGGGGGGAGAAGGGGAGGCTATTAGTACAAAATATGAGTGTCTAAAAACTATGAACTTACAAAAAAAAACTATAAACTTGTATATATCATTTTTATAATCCACAAACTTCTAAAACTAAATAATTACAACAAAATTAAATCAAAACTAAAACTAAATCTAAAACTAAAAAAAAACATGAGCAACATGATTTGCACTTCTGCAACATCCACTCATATCAACTCCTCGATAGACTACAAGACAAAAACACGTCCTTCCTCTACTCTAGAACCTTAAACACGCCTTTTCGACATCTCTCTCTCACACTCTGAAATTTAGATGAGAACAAGAGCACGCCCACACTCACTGGACAGGTCCCATGTTGCCTGGCTGGGAGATGGGTGGGATGTACAGATTCTGGGGCGGAAATTGTGGGTTGGCGTGAACCATATTGCCGCCCACGCCCATCTGGAAGAGAAGGTTTATTTAGTCAATCGTAATCTCGAATTTTTACGTCAAGTTAACGCGCTATTTTTTCTGGGAAATTTTCATTTAATTATCTATCTACTTATCTATCGTAGATATCTTAATTTATACATTGGGCTAACGTATCGTAATCATAGATACGCTTATCAACCTATCTCGCAATTCTATAGACATATTCCAAAGTATACTCAGCTATGAAATTACAATCCATCACAGCAATATATTTCTTTTTCATTACAGATCCTTCACAGCAATATATTTCTTTTTCATTACAGATCCTTCACAGCAATATTTTTATTTTTCATTAGATATCCTTAACAACAATATATTTCTTTTTCATTACAGATCCTCAACAGCATTAAATCTTTAATTTATGATCACTAACAAACAACAATTTTTCTATTAAGCCCATGCCTCTAACACAACTCCCCCTCAAAGCGCCAAACACTACTAACCTGATGCTGATACATGGTCTGCTGGTGATGGGCGTGGTTGTGGGCGGCGGAGGTTGTGTCTGCCTCCGGCTGGGGGAGGGTGGAGGTCAGCCCTTGGAGGTCACCGTAGTTCTCCTCGGTCCCGTAGTTGGCGTAGGGAGGCTGTGGAGAGAGAGGAGAGGTTAGGTCTACTTTGGATTATGAATTTCAGTATTTAATGTAAAGGGGTCTTTTATTGTCTATTTGTTTATATATTAGTATTACTCTTTCTTTAATAATATTAACGGTTCGTGATGCAATCCTTTTTTTCAATTTACAAGATCGACCTTGAGACACGTATTCAAACACAAACAAATAAACAAATACAAACACACACACACACACACACACTCTCCTTCCCCAAACAGACCATGACTCCTGCCTACACAGCACACCCAAGTGTCGTTCTCATATCTCACGCGTTAAAGGGCATCCCTCCCCGAGCATGCAAGGAACAACACGATCCATCCTCGATACTTCCAAATCTTGCAGACTTGGGAGGGGGGTGATGGGGAGGAGGGGGAGAGGGTGGAAGGGAGGGAGGGGAGGAAAGATGGGGGGGGAGGAGAAGGAAGGCGGGCGAGAGGGAGGGAGTTAGGAGAGGGAGGGAGGGAGGGACGGGAAGGAGAGGGAGGGAGGAAGGAAGAAAGAGAGGGAGTTAGGTGGGAAGAGAGAGAGAGAGAGAGAGAGAGAGAGAGAGAGAGAGAGAGAGAGAGAGAGAGAGAGAGAGAGAGAGAGAGAGAGAGAGAGAGAGGGAGAGAGAGAGAGAGAGAGAGAGAGAGAGAGAGAGAGAGAGAGAGAGAGAGAGAGAGAGAGAGAGAGAGAGAGAGAGAGAGAGAGAAACTTTTGTGTCTTTTATCCTGGTGGACAAAATTGAACAAGACAGACAGGTATCCTTCAATTTCAGCTCCATCGCTTTCATAATAGCATTCCAAACCTCGGGCGGAAGACAGGCCTAGAGACGCGAAAAATCGCCCGCGGATTTTGGCTCTTGTGCGCCTAAGGAATAAGGGATAAAAACGCGGGGCCTGGATTCTTATTGTACCCATGCACGTAGGAAATCCTCCGCCAAACTTATACATCCCTTGGGGACAACTTAGTTCGCAACGGGCTAAATTAAAGTACATAGATTTTCATTTAGTCTCGCGACATTATGCTCTCTCTTCACATTACCTATGCAAGCGACTCTTCCCCCTTGCGCCACAGGCCTCCGCCACAGCGCCCGAGGCTCGCCAAAGTCGACGTTCGGGCGCCCCGCCGGAGGGACGTCTCCCGGGCTCCGAGCGGCGACTCGGCTTAGGCCGCTCTGCCACTGGTATTTCCACATATAGATGCAAATGAACCGATTTATGTGCGTTTGTTAATAGAAATTTTTTCCTTGCTCTTAACTCTAGGCAAGTTGTAGGGCCCCGTGCTCTGCCACCCGCCCGGGCGCTCCCTCGCAACCCCACAACCTCACACGCGCCCCTCGCCCCCCCCCCCTCCACCTCCCCAACAGCACCGGCGAGAGGTTGACATCTTACGTCTGTGCCGATAAGATCGCGAGTTCCCCGTCGTGTTTTCTTCTGTCGTGTTAAAGGGAAGGGTATGGAGGGCGGGAGGCGCTCGCTCGTCACACCCGGGTCGGGTCGCTCGCCTCCTGCATGACCCGGACCCACGGGCACGGGCGGCTTCAATTCAGGGGGGGGGGAGAAAGAGGGAGAATGAGGGAGGAAGGGAGGGAGGGAGTGTGCGGTGTATCATACAGTTATAAATACACATAAATATAGAGATATACATATATCTATACATATGGTGTGTGTGTGTGTGTGTGTGTGTGTGTGTGTGTGTGTGTGTGTGTGTGTGTGTGTGTGTGCGCGCGTGCGCGTGCAAATGCGCGTGCGCTAGGTAGACAGACCGAATACAAGAACGAAAGACTGGGAAATAACATGGAAATTATGTTGAATAAATATAAAAGCAAATAGTCTCTGACACTTTTTTCATAGCGAGTGTTAGGCCGGGAAGCGAAAAATGCTTATAACAAAAACATAGGATTCATATACATAATACATAATAATAAATAAACAAACACCTCAAAGCGGTTAAAATGGAACCTTCTTTGCTCCCCCCCCCTCTTCCCACTCTCCTCTCTGCCCACTCCACCTTCTCCCTCAAACGCCTCTCGCCCCACTCCGCGTCCTTCCCTCCCCTCACCCTCCCCACTCCACCCCACTCCTCACCCCCTCTTTCCTTCCCACACCTCACCCTCCCCTTCCCCCCCTCACCGCCCCACTCCCTCCTTCCCACATCTCCCCCTCCCCTCTCCCCCCTCACAGCTCCACCCCTTCTCTCCCCACACCTCCCCTCTCCCCTCTCCCCCCCACTCGCTCCTTCCCACACCTCCCCTCTCCCCTCTCCCCCCCACTCGCTCCTTCCCACACCTCCCCTCTCCCCTCTCCCCCCCCACTCGCTCCTTCCCACACCTCACCCTCCCCTCTCCATACCTCCCTCCCCTCCCCCCCCTCACCGCCTCACTCCCTCCTTCCCACACACCCCCCACTCCCCACCCCCCCCTCTCCCCCCCACTCCCTCCTCAGAAAGGCTAACACTGTTCCATACGTCGCCTTTAACGCTTTCATTTCCTGTGACCAATATTGTAAAATAGAAGTCTGGCGTTAAGCTATTCCTACGAGCAGCCTTCACTGGCACCCAGTCCCTTCTCCTCCTTCTTCCTTCCTCTTTCTTCCTCTTCTTCCTTCTATCCTATCCCTTCTTCTTCTTCTTCTTCTTCTTCTTCTTCTTCTTCTTCTTCTTCTTCTTCTTCTTCTTCTTCTTCTTCTTCTCCTTTTTTTCTTCTTCTCCTCCTCCTTTTTTTCTTCTTCTCCTCCTCCCTTTTTCTCCTTTCTTCTTCCTCACCCCTCCTACTCCTCCTCTTTCTCCTTCTTCCTTCCATCTTTCTTTATCCTTCCTTCTTCCTCCCTGCCCCCTTTGTATACCATTCCCACATCCCTCCCTTACTATACCCTCCTAACATACCCTCCCCTACCTCGCCGTTCCCTCCCTCCTTCTCCTCCTCCCTTCCCCCTCCCTCCCTTTCCCCTTCCTCTCCCTCCCTCCTCCCTTCTCTTTCCTCTCCCTCTCTCTCCCCTTCTCCTTCACTTCCTCTCCCTCCCCCTTCCTTCCCTTCCTCTCCCTCCCCCCCTCCCTTCCCCTTCCTCTCCCTCCCCCCTCCCTTCCCCTTCCCCTTCCTCTCCCTCCTCCCCTTCCCCTTCCTCTCCCCTTCTCCTTCACTTCCTTTCCCTCCCCCTCCCTTCCCCTTCCTCTCCCTCCCTCCCCCCCTCCCTTCCCCTTCCCCTTCCCCTTCCTCTCCCTCCCCCTCTTCCCCTTCCTCTCCCTCCCCCCCTCCCTTCCCCTTCCTCTCCCTCCCCCCTCCCTTCCCCTTCCTCTCCCTCCCCCTCTTCCCCTCCCCTATCCCTCCCTCTCTTCCCCCTCCCTTACCCCCCCAACCCCAACTCCTCACGAAAAACGTTAGTACGAGCTTTTAATTTTTTTTTTTCTTGTATTTTTTTTTTTTTTTTTTGTATATTATTATTGTAGATGGATGCCATTCTGTTGCTGGCACTGCCGCTGTTGTTCCTTTACCTAACACGTGGAATATTAAAAGGTTTTTTCAATTATTCAACTCCCCCCCCCCTCCTTCCACTCTCTACCCACCCCTCCCCACACTCCCTACTTCAAGGAGAGAAAATGCCTTCTTTTTAAAATGGAAAATGGGCGGCGAATCGTACGGATTGCCAGTGATGGATGGGGGTGAGACTTAGGTTCTCCCCCCCCCCCCGTCTCCATCTAACTCCCTACCTACCCCCTCCCCTCCCACCTTCCAGCCTAAAACTTCTTACAGCCTTCAACCCTTTTCTCTCTCCCTTCCTCCCCCCCCCCTTCTCCCTCCCTCTCTTTTTCTCTATCTCCCTTCTTCCCCTCTCTCTCTCTCTCTCTTACCCCCCCTCCTCCTCCTCCTCCTTTTTCTCCATCTCCATCTCCCCTTCCCCTTCCCCTTCCCCCTCCCCCCTCTCTTCCCCCAACCCGCTAAGCTCTCATAATCTGCAAATCAATCCCACGTTAAACCGGAGAAATAATCGATAATAACGACAATTAAACGATAATTATCTTTTGGTGACAAGTGCGTAATCGACAAATTATTATCTTCGAATGTCAAAATAACGAAGAAGAAGAAAAAAAAGAAAATGATGATAATAAACCCCTAAAACAAGAAAAGTTTTTTCCACCAATTCTAAGGATCTCGTAAAGGGGGGAGGGGGAGGGAAGGAGGGAGGGAGGGAGGGAGGGAGGGAGGGAGGGAGGGAGAGAGAGAGAGAGAGAGAGAGAGAGAGAGAGAGAGAGAGAGAGAGAGAGAGAGAGAGAGAGAGAGAGAGAGAGAGAGGGTGGGGGAGGGAGTGGGAGTGGGAGAGGGAGGGGGAGGGGGAGGGAGCGGGAGGAAAGGGAGAGGGAGAGGGAGAGGGAGAAGGAGGAGGGGGAGAGCCAGTCTCCCTGGTACAACCACTCCCCTTAACGAACTGATTTCATAATTTTTTCTGATGGATATGCCCAGTAGGCCTAAGCCCCCTTTTTGAATCGAGTAATTTTTTGTAGCTTCACTGAATAATTCATAGGCCCGGTTTGAGGCCTCTTTCTCTTATTTCTTGTCTTGAAATCAAACGTGTATTATTTATATGTAAGTGTGAGAGTAAGAGTGTGAGAGTAAGAGTGTAAGAGTGTAAGTGTGTAAGTGTGTGTGTGTAAGTGTGTGTGTGTAAGTGTGTGTGTGTAAGTGTGTGTGTGTGTAAGTGTGTGTGTGTGTAAGTGTGTGTGTGTGTGTGTGTGTGTGTGTGTGTGTGTGTGTGTGTGTGTGTGTGTGTGTGTGTGTGTGTGTGTGTGTGTGTGTGTGTGTCACATATATGTGTAAGCATATGAATGTATTTACACACTGCTGTGTGTATATATATACAAGTGAACTTACAGATACATATTACACATCGATCTCGGAGAACAAGCACGAAGATAAAACATCTACACACAACACGGAAAACAAAAACAACAACAACAACAAAAACAACACCTCCCAAGAAAATCAGAACCGCAGCAAA